TTTTCTTTTTCATGATGAACTTTATTTTAAGGGTCACAGCAGTAGGTCCCTAATATATTTGGTGCTTTTTAAAAGTCCTAAAAGCATAAAAACTATCATTGTGGTGATAGCACAACTGAAAAAGACTATTGGGAGCCTTTTTGCTCTATGAGAGTTTGACTAATGTACACTGATAAAAAAACATCACAGATAATAAAATTTATGGTCAAAAATGTTCCAACTCTGTTCCAACAGGGTAGATCCAATGCTAAAAAGTCATATAAAAATAAAACAAACATGCATAAAGCCTCAAACATATTTATTTAAATATAAACTGCCCATTTTTTTATAAAAAAAATCAAAAAGTGAAGAAAATTCATAAACACAACAAAGCAAGTTATAAACACCACTAAATGTTTCTGTCATGATGTCCCGCTCAGTGTGGAGTTTATTAGTTCACTCTGGCTGTATGAATTATGGGTTACCACCTCTTGCTAAGCACTGCCAGTCAGCTGGCTTCTACACATTACACATCTCCTATTAAAAATATTTAGACCCCCAAATAAAAAGTGAGTTTTAAGCTTAATGCTTTAAACTACAGTAAGACTGTTTTTTTTAAACAAAATAGATTTTATGTCTCAGCTTTAGGCTCCAATGTAAAATGCTGCAAAAGTTATTGATGTTAGTTGCCATCGAGTGTGGGACACCCAGTTATCTGCTATAAGAGGGAAAAAAAATTTTTCATGAATCTATGATGGTTTGGATAACTTTGCATTTAAATATAATTTGAAGAAAAGCAGATTTTTGCATTTGAAGTCTGAAACATTTTAATTTGACAAGAAAAGCAGAAACTAGACATCATTCATATGGGATTGAAATCTAAGGTATAATTTAAAAAGAAGGTGTCTTTCATTTCAGAGTAACTCAGTCACTGTTACCAATGGTGTAAATATCAGTAAGCAGAGACAGCAGTTGCTTATGGGCCCATGACCTCTTAGGGGCCCCTTCATTGGCACGAATAGGGCCCCTGCGCAATTGTAGACCAGAACGTCTCTTTGCAAATGTAATGGTGTGAAAAAAAACCTCTTAAACCCACCTGAAACTGAAGTAACTGACCGCATCAGACCGTATTTATACCGCAACACATGCAAGATTTCAACACGAGTTTAAACACAACACCAATAGAAAAGCAGACAGTGGTACTTTTAATTACTATGTTAATAGCTGAGTATAGTTTATTAGACGGATGGTAAAAAAATACAATCATATGTTTCAAACATATTATATGCTGGGTTCGAAAAGCATCTCCCTGAAATTAGTTTTTGTAACTTGGGATGTCTGTAACATGCGGTGGTGCACTGTCACCAATAGTTCCATTCAAGGTGCACAATTACTATTCTTTTGTGTTTGATATGTGATCATACTCTACTGAGAATTACATAATTGTATCTTCTTGGCTGATTTATGGAACTGTCGCCGTATCCTGAACCTTTATAATAATAAATAGATTACCCCAAAACATCCAGCTTTCATAAACTTTACACTTTTAGATGAGCTACATTTTTGATTGTAGAGATGAGCTTTGTGACAAAGTGTGTGAGATCACCACTTGTCTCAGTTTAGACATTTATTTTATTGTTTGATTGATTTAACCATCTCTTCATTTTGTAGTTTGCATTCATATACTATCCCAGGTTTGTTCATGTTTGTATTTTTAAAGATTTAGTATAACATCTTGGTTTCAATCAGGAAACAACTCTTCTACAGACGTAAAATTAAAAGCTAATAAACCTGCAGGAATTAAAGCACAAATAATAAAAAGATTATTTCAGAGTATAAATGATTTTTGAAAAATAAGGTTCAATACATAGACTTTGGCTGTCAATGACATATGGGACAAATTTAGAAATTTTTCCCATATGCTTGTGAAGGAAGATAATCAGTGATGGAGCTAAAAGGGAAGCCATGGATGGATAGATTGATGGAACTTAAGTTGTGTTCATACTAGGGATGCATTATATATTGCTTTTGGCTTTGGATTTCGGCTGTTATTCGTAATTTTTTTTTTAAATAAATTATTGTTTTTGAGCCCTTCATAAATAATGCACTAAAGGCAGGCATCTGTCTCCATATCTGATCCATCCATTTTCTGACACGCTTAATCCCTAGTGGGGTCGCAAGGGGTGCTGGTGCCTATCTCCAGCTGTCTATGGGTTAGAGGCGGGGTACAACCTGGACAGGTCGCCAGTCCATCCCAGGGCAACACAGACACAAACAACCATTCACACACACACTCACAACTAAGGAGAATTTGGAGAAGCCAATTAACCTAACAGTCATGTTTTTGGACTGTGGGAGGAAGCCGGAGTACCCGGAGAGAACCCACGCATGCTCAGGGAGAACATGCAAACTCTATGCAGAGAGACCCCGAGCCAGGAATCAAACCCGTGGCCTTCTTGCTGCAAGGCAGCAGTGCTACCCACTGCGAGAGAAAAAAATGGATGAATGGATATAACCATAAATATAAGTTTACTGTTGTGCTCTTGTGTTCTCAACAATAGGAAAGCATTCAATAAATATATGTTTGAGCTCATTTTTGGAAAATATAAACCCTACAGAAAGTGTAGCTGTAGGTCCAGCAGCCACTATCCTTAGAGCTTCCCCTCCAACTTTTATCACAAAGTTACATCCTTGGTTTTTCAGAGTTCTAGGATCTGAACCCCACAATTTGATCTGAGGGAGACCAGTTTTTAATCCTGTACCTCTGCAGGGCTCTGAAGCTCACCAGGCGCTCCAGGTGGGACTCACTGTGGACGTCCCTCTTTCTCACAGAGTGCAGCTGGAAGCCTGACACAGGCAGCACCTCATACTCTGACAGGATGGAGCTCAGAGTTTCTGGAAATAAGGAACAGAAACCAGCTTCCATTAAACCAACAGAGGAATATTGAAGGTTTAGCTGTTTGAGCACTTAAATGTCTATTCAATATTAAAATACAGTTTAGATATGATTATTAAATGTTTTGAAAAAAGCAATTTGTCATACGGTTTTATTTTAGCTAACGTTAGCTGAACTCATTCCCATATTTACCAAACTCCGGGCCATGTTCGGGAATATCCTCCGACCCAATCCTTGCGGTTATAACAGCGTTCACCCAAAAAGAGCCAAAAAAGACAAGTAACCCTATATTAATCATATTCAAGCGTTCTTTCACATCTGAGAGTTAGAAAATGGTCCCATTTAGGTGTAAGGCTAACGGAGAAGCTATCCGGAAGTGCACAGAGTAGCAAAACATCGCCTAGAAGAAATGGGTTCGCTCGTTTACCATTTGCCGGAACAGGACGCGGTTGGAGATTACGAAGAAGAAGAGCAGCAGGGAGGGGCTATTCACGGAAAATGAGTGGCTTTGTGTAATCGGGGTTTATTGGAAATGTTTTGTTTTTTTCTTTCACTGAACAACTTTTGATCTTTATGAGGCAACAGACCTATTTTTAAAGTATGAAACACAGAATAAAAACGTTACATATAGCCTTGGCTATAGGTCTAACTGCTGTTTCAAACTGAGATATTAACTACAGCCACTGCAGCATATTTATATCATTTTGAGTATTTTCACAATTTCTACTGAAAGAAATCCAAAGTGCTTTAAATGAAACTTAAAGACCATAGGAAAAAATCAAGTGGTGCCTTGCAGCAGGAAGGTTCCTAGTTTGATTCCTGGATCATTTCTGCATGGAGTATGCATGTTCTCCCTGTGCATGCATGGGTCCTCTCCGGGTACTCCGGCTTCCTCCCACAGTCCAAAAACATGACCTCTAGGTTAATTGGCTTTTCTAAATTCTCCTTAGGTGTGTGTGCGTGAATTGTTTGTCCTGTTTGTCTCTGTGTTGCCCTGAGATAGACTGGTGACCTGTCCAGGATGGACCCCGCCTCTCGCCCGTAGACAGCTGGAGATAGGCAACTGTACCCCTCGTGACCCCACTTGGGATAAGAGTGACAGATGAAGAAAAATCAAAATCTCATTTCAAAACAAACAAAGGACAAACCTAAACAAGGCAATTTGAGCAAATCAAAGCAGGGACTCAATTTATTTAGAGGCAGGTTTGATGTGATCCATTTTCCTGTTGCTGGTCAAAGTCATTGGCAACAGTTTGATTTAGCTATAATAATCCTTTTCAAGTTAATTTTTTTAAAAGTTAGCATTAACAAAAAAAATTTCTGAAGAATATCCTCTTTGTTTAAAACAATGTAACAGACCGACTTAGGACTATACATACAGATGCTAAAATGTAGGTCTGGGTCCAATTCAACACAGGATTATGGAACTTTGTGGGTAATAGGCCGCAGTCTCGCTGGCGAAATCCTTATTTCAATGTGTTATTTTTGTACTTTAAGCTGAAGAGATGTTGGTCCATCCATGTAATATTGTTACAATACGGTCATTGACTACAGGGGAATTTAGCCATGGCAACAGAAAAATAAAAGGTTTTTAATAGGTGAATGGTACGAAAGCAGCACATTATAATCAAAGCTATAGGTAGAACATGGATGTTTAACGAAAGGAGACTCGAACCCCAAATGTAATCTTTGTTTGGTTTATTAATTTGCCAAATCATACATACTTAAAATAGGATCTCAACCAGCATCACATCAGCTTATAATGCCACCACCTTTCCAGTCGCATCATTCAGTTGATTAGGATCAAATATCTATAAGATCAAATTAAAACTAACAGAAGTTTAAGATTCCATGTTAAAATCTTTACCTATGCAGTCTCTAGGCTGTGGTCAAAAACCTGACTGGAAGGCACTAAAGTTCTATTTTGATTACAAACACAGGTTAGATATCCTTGAAAATGGTTTGAAATCTGCAGTTTTTAATTTAGTAGTTAAAAAAAATGACTTATATCATGAAAATGTTGCTTTGCCGTTTTGAATAATGTTTAAAATGTTTAAAAAAGCTGGGTCTAAAGATTAGAGTTAAATCCTTAATATGCAGGTGTAAAAGAAGACAGAACCTTGGCTTGGCTTATAAAATGTTTTATTCATGTTAACATAGTGGATGCAACAGGATTCAACAGTTCCACAGGGCGTTTAGGGACTACCAACTGAATTTACAAAACAAAAGTGGTCCAAATCTCAACAGAGAGAAAGTATATCACCAAACAGATTAACATATTTCACTTCTGTCGAGTGGCTAAAAACTTTTGTTCCCATTCCAGTGTAAAATTTGAAGAGGAGTGCAGGATCTGGAACTGCTTCTCTCCACTGACAACAAATTGGTAGTTGGTCAGAAGAGAACAGCAAGTTCACCTCAAGCAGACGGAATTCAGTGAACGAGTCACTGGGATCAGAACTGAATATTCAGCCACTGGGCAGTGCTTGGCTTTGTTGAAACGTTTTTAGCCAGCAAGTGAAAGTGCACCCACTTTTTCCCTGAAGAATAAAAATTTGTTCAAATCAAACCCAAGCAAAATGTAACAGTACCACATAACCTGGTAGAAAACCTGCAAAATGATGCAATGAGATGACATGTGATCAGGTTTTCAACTTTTCTACCTGGGGTCTCAAATCAATTTAGATTACCTTTTGCCTTTCTACAGCTGAACGAGATGGGAAGGCAGAGAGAAAAACTACAGGGATGGAAGGAAATCTCCAAATCTGATCTGCTGAGGGACTTTATCTTGGTTACTTTAGGTCATTTCCAGCAATGGAATGTAGCAGTGGAGTGTAATGAAGCATAAAATGAGAAAAGTTGTTTTGTTTTTTTCAATTTTCAAATCATTTTTGTTGTTTCCCCAACAGTTAGGGCATGCACACTCTAGTTCTCCGTCTCCCCGGCCTCTGCCTCTCCAGCATTGCCCTCATCCGGCTCCGGAGCATTATCAGATGTCCATAACTGTGGAGAAAAGCAAATCTTGGATTAAGAATAAAACAGCTACATTATATTTATATAAACTTCACATTTGGGGTTTATCATTTTTAAGAAAAAACATTTTGGTCTGCTCTATTAAAATATATATTTGTGTAATTTCAGGGTTTCAGGTGCTGCCAGCTTTTCTTCTAATCAGCGGAAACTGGCTGCTCAAAATAGTGAATTTATGCAGGAGAAAAGAAAAAGACTGAAGTGAAACCAGAACAAAAATTGTTCACATTTAATTTTTTCTATTTTACAAGACTAAAAAAGCTGATGAAGACAGTTTACCATGAAAAACACAAGACATCAACAGCACAAAACAGATACAGCTTTGTCCTCCTTTTTTTTAACAGGCTGCCTTCTAGCTAACTAAGGAAAAGTGCCAAATACGATCCAGAATGCACTTTAATTAAGGCGATAAAATTGAAACTCTACTCTAATCACTCTTTTCAAAAGTTCACACTCAATAGAAAAAGGAATCTACGCAGTCACATCTCAAAAGCTGTTAATTTTCCTAATTATGGGAAAAAATTTAACATGTATAATAAGCTGGTTGTTCACACTGAGCTGTATCCAATCATCCCGATATAAGCTTTAGTGGAAGAAGGATGCATGGTAGAAAGATGAGATTCTTTAAGAGCGGACGGCATGTGGAGTCATTGCCACAACCTACAGATATCTAAACTATACGTGTGTTGAGGCTGAAATGTAACTCAGGCTTTAGTTTAGCACTGATTTTCGAAATAATCATCCCAGAATCTGAAGGAAGTCGAGGAGCACAGGATCCAAGTCACTTAAGGCCAATTTATGCTTCTGACACATAGCCTCTGCAACCGTCAAATCTGTCTCTGTGCGCGACCATGCCCCCCGCGCAGAGGTTCTGCAACCGTTGTCGCGCATCTCAAAAAAGTTCTCTACTAGGCTCCCCCCTTGCGATTTGGCGAGAAATTGCTCTGCGTCCCTAGAAATTCCAGACCGACGGTGCAGAAGCATACCAGCAAAACTGGTTCGCAACCAGACCCAAGCGACATTTGATGTAAGCGGTTGCAGAAGTATAATCTGCCCTTTAAGATCCACTGTTAAGTTTAAGCAGTCAGTGATGATTTGGGAGACATGATGTCATCTGGGGTGATATCAAGTCAAAAGCTTGTGCAGCCGGCAAACAGGAAACAATTCATATTAACAGTATACGTGTAATAACATCTGTATATAGTAGGGATGGAACGGTTTATGAAAACCGTCCGAACCGTTCGGTTCGACTGTCTCGGTTCGGTTCGCGTGTGTTGCGTTCGGTTCATGCGCTGCTCCTTTTTCTCATAGGCGAAGCGATTACACTCCAGAGCAGAAGGTGGCGGTACTGCGACCAAAGCCAACCACCAGTAGTAAACAAGAAGAAGAAGCAAAGCAGCGTAGCCGGGTGTAGAAGAATAAAATCAGTTGTTGTGGAGAATTGTGTCGGACTGGCGAGTGGAAAAGAACAGGAGTTGGAAGACGCGCCAGCAGCACTTTATAGGTCTGCTGTATGGGAGCGCTTTGCATTTAGATGACCTACGATGACGGCGGAAAGAAAGTTGTGGATAAAAGTGCTACAATGTGCAAATATTGTGCAACACGTTTTGTTTATGATAACAGCAACACGACCAACATGTCAGGCTAACAATCAACATATACCGAACCGAACCAAAAACCGTGACCATGAAACCGTGAACTGAACCAAACCGTGGATTTTGTGAACCGTTCCACTCCGAGTATATAGGTAACGACCTGGACATTCTTTTGCTGTTGTCAGACTGCTTAATACTATTGCAAATGACCACTACTGCTAAATAAGGTCTAATAAGTTGGTACCACATTGATATGTTTTAACTCTTTATATATTAGAATATATATAACTATAGATTTAAGTTTTTACATTCTTTTTTCCCTTTCCCCATTTTGTGTGCTACCAAGAGCTGTTGTAACTAGGGATGTCCCGATCATATATTAATATCGGATATCGGTCCCATATTAGCCAAAAAAAAGAATATTTCTAATATTCTGATAAAAACACTCTATCTTCTAGCTTCTGTTAAAAGTTTCTGGAACTCATTGGTTCATTTTACATGGTGTCATGTCGGGGAGTGGCGGTCTAGTGGTTAGGGCATAGAGCTTGGAATCTTGAGGTTCTGAGTTCGAGCCCCACTCCCACAGACTGCCACTCTGGCTCTCTGAGCAAAGACTTTAACCCCACACTTCTCCCCGGGCGCCACAAAATGGCAGCCCACTGCTCCCCAAGGGGATGGGTTAAATGCATTTCTGTGCTCTATACGTCTGACAGTGTAATGACAATAAAAAATGGAAAAAAAGTTATTTTTATAACTTTTACCGTTGATTTTGTTGCCTGTTTTATTAATATTATTTGATCAAGCCTTTTTCTAACATTCTACAGTATAAAATAAGTAAATAATAGGGGATGATTCAAATGATAAATGTATTAGGTCAATATTATAATAATGTATTTTCACGACTATAAGGCGCACTTAAACGTCTTTTTTTCCCCTCAAAATGTGCGGTGCGCCCTATGGTGCGGTGCGCCCTATGGTGCGGTGCGCCCTATGTGTGTTGTAACTGCGACTTTTGAGACCACCTCATTGAGGAGATGATGAAAGAGTGGCTGAATGTAAGGAGACCAGGTGTTTTTTTTCCACTCATCACCATTAATCTGTAACTCCATGCGTGCCCATCTCACAGCTGATGTGAAAAACATGGGGAAACAAATTAACCCTGTGCTCGCTGTTCAACCGCTCAACATCGGTGTGAACCGGACCCAGCAGGTGCAGCAGAAGCAGCGAGTTTACATGCAAAGTCAATGGTTGACGCGCATATAGGTGCAGCAAAAGGTCCTGCAGCGCGTTTTGAGCCGCAGGTGCAGCACGTCGGGATCGTTTAAGCATCTGAAGCGCCGCCAACGCGCTGCTGCTGCTCCAGATGGAAAAATTGAAGTTTTGCTGCTGGACGCGCCGCATCAACCGATCAGAGAAGCTGATCTGGGAGCTGACAGCGAGACAGACACAGCGCTCTGATGACATATGATATTAAATGAAAAAGGCTGGATAGATGAGGAGATGATGAAAGCGTGGCTGAGGGAGGTGTAGCCTATGTGAGGAGACCAGGTGTTTTTTTCCACGCATCACCATCGCTGCGTGCCCATCTCACAGCCGATGTGAAAAAAAAGGTGAATCAATGAACGCTGTGCTCGTCGTTATCCCGGGGGTCTGACAAAGGAACTTCAACCGCTCGACATCGGTGTGAAGCGGCCGTTCAAAGTAAGGCTGCGAGCGGCGTGGGAGCGATGGATGACCGACAGAGACCACAGTTTCAGGATAAGTGGAAGGCAACGCCGGGCAAGTTACGCCACCGTTTGCGGATGGATTGTAGATGCTTGGACTAACGTGTCTGCTGGCTCTGTTGTTCAAGCTTTCGCAAAAGCCGGCATTATTTCTGAGGAGCTGCGCTGCACAGAAAGTGACTCTGACAGCGAAGAAGGGGAAATTGGCATGTCTGATTTAGCGCAGCTGTTTAATTCAGAAACAGAGGATGATGACTTTGATGGGTTTGATTAATACTTTGTAATAAATACATGAATAAAGCACAATCATACTCAGTTTTGCTCCCGCTCTATTTTTCTCCCTGAAAACTTAATTCAACAGCAGCCTCTGGGCCGGGTCTCCTCCTCTTCACCGCGGTGGCTGGCAGGTGTTTTTTCATCTAAATAATCTTAATCTTGCAGCTATATTTGCTGTGATCAGTGGGAATAAAGTAGTTTCAATATGTTTTTAAGTGAGAAAGGCCACCTGAAAACTTCATAATTGCAGTCAGTTCATCCAGATTATCTATTTCTGTCGGAGGCGCTCAGACCCCCACATACCAGCGGTGCACCGACAGTAGAAATCCTTTCGTTCACCGCGGCGGCTGGCAGGTGTTTTTCATCTAAATAATTTAAACTGCAGGCACCAGGATGCCGGTAATAAAAGCGAACACATTCTGTCGGCAGGTTTCAGGATTTTAATTTAATTTAGGAGTGACCACAGCGCTGTGTCATCTGCGATGGTTCTGTCTCACAGCCAGCTGCCAGGTTTGATTAATACTTTGTAATAAATACATGAATAAAGCACAGTCATACTCAGTTTTGCCCCCGCTGTATTTTTAAATACGCAGTAGAGCTATTTAAAGGTAGTAGAGGACATGTACCTGTATATAAAAAACGCGCCCTATAGTCCGGTGCGCCTTATGTGTGTGTTAAATACAGAAATGGGACACATAACTGAGACTGCGCCTTTTAGTACGGTGCGCCTTATGGTCGTGAAAATACGGTAATATTATATCATTAAAGTTCCAGTTATGAACATCTTTTTTCTCTCTGTTGAGCTGATTTCATTTACCGTAGTACTTGGTAGCTGCTCCCAAAAGTATGAATCGCTGTTTTTAATGACATAGAATCACCCCTGACCTGAACCCAGGAGGGTTTAGGACAAAGAGTAGACTCCGGACGGAAGCTCGTAAAGATTCTGAAGAATCCTACGTTTCCTGATCCGCTGCATGCAGCTCTGCACTCATGCAGTAATAATTGGCAAGTATTGAACTCTGGGTTAGCATCAACTGTATGCCATGATCATCCAAACCTGGAATACATTATTCTGTATGTAATACATCTATATAAAATATTAGTTTTAGTTCTTGAGCTGAAATATTAAAATAACGTTGATGATGTTCTAATTTAATAATAAGCTTCTATATAAGACTAATTAAACGTTGGTGGGAAAGGCGGTTTATATTCTAGCCAACAGTGTTGATTTTGATGCTGTGTGAGAGCAAAGGGCTTACTGTGAGGTTATCTCTGAGGAGCTGCATGATGAGGGTGCTATCCTTGTAGGACTCTTCGTGTAGCTGGTCCAGCTCTGCTATAGCATCATCAAACGCCTGTAAACAAAGCAGACGCGTGTTAATGCAGTGCGCCCAAGTTTATATCCAGTTAGAAAAAGCTGCGATTCTGTTTTTTTAAGCTTCATTGACCTTTTTGGCCAGTTCGCAGGCCTTCTCTGGGGAGTTGAGGATCTCATAGAAGAAGACTGAGAAGTTAAGTGCCAGCCCCAGGCGGATGGGATGTGTGGGCTCCATCTCGGTCTTGCTGATGTCAAATGCAGCCTGATATGCTTGCTGTGAGCTTTCAATGGTTTCTGAAAAACAAACAAAAAATAACATGTCTGCCCCCTTTCCATCTGAGATAACAGCCTTCAATAAATTGCCATCTAGTCCTTGTAAATGCGTCCGCCGCTAGTGGAGACATAATCAGACTATGTGAATTCTATAGTTAAGACATTAAAATCCTGTCCTATATAAGAGTCACTATAGTAAGACCTCAAAATTAAACGCCCTCAATTAAAAGCTAATGAGGATATAATGTGATCTTACTTGTCTTGGTGTCTCCAGAGGCAACTTCTGCAAGGTATCTGTAGTAGTCTCCCTTCATCTTTAGATAGAATACTTTGCTCTCTGGGTTTGTGGAGTTACTGATTAAATGATTATCCAGCAGTACCTGTTTAAAAAAAAACAAAAAATGGCAGAAACAGATGTAATAGTTAGAGCAGGGGTCTGCAACTTTTGAACGCCAAGGAGCTATTTCACCCCCTGAGTGTAGCGAATTAAAAGTGGTTCAGAGCAGCAAATATTCAATTACCTTTTAATCAGACAGCACTTATTATTTTACAAAAAAATAAGTGCTGTATTTTTTTTTTCATTTTTGTTTTTGTCTTTTTTTTAAATACAGAAAAACATAAAATGATTCATTAATATGAGGCATGGATTTATTTCTATAGGGTTTTATTTAATCTAAAAAAAATATATATAAATAAATAAAATGAAGGGGTGTAAATAAAACCCATAATGGCGACTCGATTTCTTCCTGACCAAACGATTTGATTATTTTCGATACTCAAGAATACACCACAATATGATTCAATTCAATTAATTGGTAATTGTTTTGGCTAGAAAATGTTTCAAATTTGAAATAAATTAATGAAAGCTGTAATATCGTTATCGTACAGGAATAAAAACTGGACTCCCTCAGATCAGCAAAGTTGTACTCCACATAGGCCTATGAAAACCTCATTCAAGGTAGGAGGGCAAAATAGGTATAGCGCCACCGCAGCACGGGAGTCAGAATTACATCTAGGAGCAAATGGAGAAAAACAGACCGGAGGAAAAAAAAAAAAACATGAATCGATATTCTTGCCAATGTGTCGATGCATTGGTTCATTGGCTGTTGGATCGATGCATCTATACAAAACGATTATCTTTTTATATATAATTTACTTGCTAATAAAAATACAAATAGCTCTAAAAGCTCCACAAACATTCCCGGTTCTTTTTATCCTATCCTGTGGTGAAACATTAATTCAAATATTCTTTTAAAAAAACTAAAGTTTATAATATTGGTATTATTTTAGCCATTATCAAGAGTCATTGTAGAGGGGCAAAGAGGCAAATGTGGTTCCAGAGCTGCAGGCTGCAGATCCCAGATTTAGACAAATTGTAGAAATATCAAACCAAACCCTGAGAGCTAACTCGGAAGCCAAAATGATATAATAACCAGCAGGGGTCACATAAACACTGAAATGGAGGTAAAAATCAATCAATCATGACATGGAAGATCAAGTATTTTACATTCAAACTACGTATATTTCTAACCAAGTACTTTTCTTCTGTTTATTTAATTTCTACTACAATTTTATTTTGCATTTTGTCTGCATATCTTGTGTGCCTTCAGAGCCAGGAGTCTCTTTGAAATCCTTCAGTATAGTTTCATGATATCCATAAAGATTTTTTCATAAAAATCTCTGCCTTTATGAGATGACACTGAATTTGTGTTCATTAGAAATGAGGAAAAAAAATAAAAATAATAATGTTTTTGTTCTTTTAGAATTCAACCCAAAGGAGCAGAGTTGAAATTGTGCCACAAAATTCATTGCAAAATGCATTAATCTGTTTATTATTGTTTTTACTTTAACAATAATCTAAACTCACAATATTTCAAAGAAACAAGCAAAGTAGTTATATTTGTGTTAAAATGGGTCTGCAGGTCTATGTAGGTCAAACAGAGAGGGCCTTAAAGGAGGCGCAAAAAAAAAAAAAACTAGGTCTTGAATGTGTGTAGCTCTCCATTTCAATTTCAAGAAGATTGTCATTGGTCTTTATTTTAAACATCAGTGACCATGCAGGAATATTAAACTGGTTCAGCTGTCTGTGAGAAAGCATCTAAGGCTGAAGGTAAATTATTTGCATAATGAGAGAAATTGGTTGTGTTGGATTGATCTACTGCTCCCTACCAAAACTAATGAGCTGCAAAATATAAACAGACAAACCCAGACACCAAATTGGATCCTTTTGTCACAGTTTGGAGGAAGAGAAACATTCCATCTGTACCATTTTCTAAACTAATAAGGTTCATCATCATGTTGAAGTTTCTAACCAAAGAGTGAGCACCTGCCCACCTGCAATAGGCAGCAGTCTGAGGCCTGGATTTAAAGAGAAACTGAACCTTTTGATGTTAAAATTCCTGCAGGGACATAAAAACATAGACCCAGATTTGCCACTTTATCAACAAGGAGATTTTAGATATAAAAAGTATGAAGCTTTCAGTTTAAATCAGATTACTTTAATGAACTTTATGCTGTGCCATCTTATTAAAACCCAGAAGACTAACTCAACAATAAAACAGTATTTTTATGTTTTACAGTAGCTCTGGACATGCATCTCATGCAAACTAATCTGTTTAGATGTGTCATGTTACCAAAGTTGGGCTGCGTTGTCCAACATTAAGAAGGTACCCAGTTTTAATCCCTGCCTGGGTTTACATCTTCTCTCCATGTTTAAGTCAAAATTCCCTCATCCTGGGAAAACTGGTCCCTGTCCATTTTTTCCTCACAGCTTCAGTCCAGTTATGGTTTATTCAGCTTCATCTTTGACCAAACCGTTCCTACATGTTTAAGTCTCTTAATTAAGATGCTGGAATGTGTTTGGATTATAGACAGTTTCCTCTGAATGTGTGGCAGCCGCACCTCTAATTAAGAAGTACTCAACTGGCTTTGATTTCAATCAAAGCCAGTTGAGCTGGGGGGTGGCCTTCATTTAAAAAAGTAACACACTATATATTAGCAGCAGGTGGTATCACACAGAGAACTAGTTTACTGGTTATAAGGAGAAAAAAATGACAATGTCACCCTGAGCTATGGATGCCCAAGCAATAATTGGTGAAAAATAAATCAATTTATTCATTTAGAATTAAATCCATTAAATCCTCATAAACAAGAAAATCTATTAAATAAATAAATCGCCCAATCCTAGAAGCAAGTGTGAAAGAAGAAAAAAAGAAATAAACTTGTTGTTCTTTAAGTGCTAGAGCCCTTTAAAGCTGATGGACAGACTCCATCAGTCTGAATCGGTTCAGCCATCAATGGGCGATTCAAGCACCACGCTGGGAACAGAAGCATCCCTTCTCCATCTGTTTGCAGCAAGCAGGAAAGCAGCACAGATGTGGTGAAGGAGCAGCCGTCTGCTGTAGCCTTTCTCTAAGTGAGAGTGAAAAGCTAACTCCTCAGGCTTCTGAGAGCATGCTAATACTTGAGAACAGACCCACCCTCTTCTTCTCAACCCCCAGGACACACGCTGGCTGAGATGTGGAGCTGAGTCAGAGGCAGTCTGAGTGAGGGAAGCAGAGTATCGGTGAACTTTAGCTGCTCCAAGCTGCTTTTCTTGGTTTCCCAAAAGAACAAATGTCCTGGAAAATGATATTTTTTGTGCACATTCGTTTCCAAACAGATCTTTCTGGAAATCCACCACCGAACAAGAGCAGGAATAATGTAGGGCACCTAATTAAACCCAGCCAGAAGTGAGAACACATCATCTCGTGATCTAATAAAGCTAAGCCTTAAAATGAAAGCCTTTGTGCTACTTTCAGAAGGGTGTTGCATTGAAGAGTTGTATGACACTCCTGAGTCATTTCTGCATGTGAATTCATGCACTAGGGCAACCACAAGAGGCTTCTGTCTGCCAGATGGGGCCGAGTGTCTCACACTTCCTGTGTGTGTGCTCAGTTTACACCCAGTCTATCCAGACACACCTTGCTGAGTCGGTACCATGACCCACTGTTGGTTCACGCCCTAAAAAGGTTTGGAGTCCATTGTTCTAAATCCAGATTCCCAACAGGCAGGACCGGAGGAAGGAATCTGTAGTACTTCCTTATCCTGTCCACCTTATTTATACAACAGGGGAAAACTGACAGGAAACGGATGCTAAAACATGTACTAATGCATGAAAAACAAGAAACTTTCTTCACACATTTTACATAAAAAGGGCTTACAAATGTTCACTGGCTTCTTTTTATTACGTTTACACTTATTTAGGAGGTATTTTGCATTGATAAGTGCATGGATAAATGATCAAAGTTTTAAAATAATTAAACCAGGATCTATAATGCTATAATCAATCTCAGCTGCATTGTGTCAACCTAGTATTGTTTTTGTAGAGATAAGCTGATCAATATTTTCCAATAAACCAATAATGGTTCCGGTTTACCCCAAGGAATGGAGCTTCAAAAGAGCTAATGGTCTCTAAAAGAGGTCTTCTAATTCCTGCTGTTAGTTGATTTTATTTTAAAGTGAAAATAGTGATAGTTCTCAGCTTTTAATTAAAAAAAAAAATCTCTTTGTTCATTTTTATATTTTGGTCAATGTAATACTGGCGTTTTGAAGATTTTTTTAAATAGTATCGAATGAAGACATTTTATTTTTAGATCAAGGAATGCACAATACACCTGGCCTTTATTGATCCACTATTCCTCTATTTTCTTATATTTATAAAATCACATAACAGTGGATCTGATCGATAAGGATGACATTTACAGACTATTTTCTGTTATGTTTACACAAGCTTGGTATCCTTTTAAGTTCAGTATATGCTGCTGGATTCCCTTGTAGAGAAAGCCTTTGATTAAGTATATTTTACTCTTGTGCACCATATGTACCATCTGTGAATGTGTAACAATATGGAGCACAGTGAGCTGGATGTTGGTTAATGTATCCATCTCTGATGCTGCTTTATACTCATATATAAAGAGTTGAATGTAAGAGATATATTAGGTTTTATTCTAATATGTAAAGTTGTTGGTGCATCAGCTTTTATGTAAACATGGGACGTTACTGATTTCTTCCATTATAAATCTGCATGAATCTTAATTAAAAGCTGCATGTTAATAAATAAATAAAAAAGCAAAAAGTATTACAGAAATATATTTCTAAAAAGTTAAACTCTTAAAAATGTATTTCCGCTACTGTTGCCAAGTAACTAATTAAAACTCCTAAAAATAATAATCCATATATATATATTCAGTTATGTCATAGATGTCTGCTGGATAAGTCTTCTCCTTGCTTATATAGGCCATAGAATTGCATGCCTGTTAGGGCTGCGCAAATGCCTGATGTACCAATTTGTAATATAATCAATATTTCATAAAAAGCTATTTTTAAAATAAAAAATGAACTCAAATTTTGTTCACATTACATTCAATAAAATTATGACACTGACTTTCTTACTCCAGCTCATAGGTGGCAGTAATACACTTAAATAGGGTTTCTACTAGCCTTTCTACAATGCATGAGAGGAGAATTACGTACTTTTCCACACAACAGTTGAAGTCAAGTTCTGCAACCATGGATTCTAGAGAAACAAGCTTTTAAAGTGATGAAAACAATGAAAGTCCGGGTTGAAACTCGCCTAAGGTTAGAGCACAGGAAAATGAAAAAAGTACTGGTTTAGGGAAAAACAATTACATATACATCTAGTGTGTATATATATATATATATATATATATATATATATATATATATATATATATATATATATATATATATATATTCCAGTCTTAATCTCTGTATTAAAGGTATTTAATATCTTATGACATTTAAATAGAGACTCTAACCCTTGTGCTTATGTAAAAACTGTAACATAAAATCCACTGAACTCAGTATAATAAATGAAGGGAAAGATAAAAGCTTCTTTTTTTATTATCTGTTTTTTTTTCCAGTGACATGGTGTTTATTGATATATGGATATTATGTATGCAACAAAAAATGAATATTTGTTGTATACCATTTGTGAAACTCTGACAAAAGGCTGTGCCGACCAGGGGCTAGATGGGGGGGCCAGGTGTGGCCATGGCCACCCTTAGCTAATCATTGGCCACCCCTGTGGCAGATGGTGGAGTATTACAGCAGTAATAATCTCAAGTGGAATATTGAAAAACATTTAAATTTTTCATAAATTAACAATTTCTTGACAACAAAAACTATGTGGTTGATTATGCACATCAATATACTAACATTAAAGATGATAATTCATCCTAGATTTTGTGTTATGGGGGTTAAAAAAAGTCTTAAAGTCATCTAGGAGTCTTCTGTGAAATCATAGATAAATAACTATTTTAATAAAAACTTAATAATCAATTTATGTATATATTAGTACTCGTAAATATAAATTTTATGCAGAATAATTGTTGATAAAAGTAGGTAACTAATGACAAAGGAAGAGATGTTTGCCCCAGAACTCAAAATGTGAAAGAATTGTATCCACTATATATTTATCTAGAAAGCACGGATGGTTAAATATATGCATCTATTTGTTAGCAAAGCCTGTAGGAAAGTACAGTTTGTCTTTATTTAGAAAATGTGGATGTTGTGCTTGTTAATTTTCCTGTAGCAATAGTGTAGATTGACCCTGGGGTTCTGGTGCTGATCCGCTTTCGGCCACCCCTCAGTCTACATCGGTTCACCCTTACAAAAGTTTTCTGGCTACGCCTCTGGTGCAGACCTGATTTTCTAGGTGGACACTCACCAGGACATTGTTGCAGATTTCCTGCAGCTCCGTCTCCACCTTCTGCTGATACTCTTTCACCATCTGCTGCTTCTTCTCGCTGCCATCGGTCTTCTGGCCGATGCTGGACAGCACCCTCCAGGCAGAGCGCCTCGCCCCAACCACGTTCTTGTAAGCGACAGAGAGCAGGTTCCTCTCCTCGTTTGACAGCTCGCCTCCCATCTCAGTCACCTCCCTCATGCAGTCTGCCATGTCGTCATAGCGCTCAGCCTGCTCCGCCAGCTTGGCCTTCTGGATCAGATCCGTCCTGTCCATTTTTTGTATGTTTAAGGGCACTCTGAGATGAAGAAATTCAGGTCACAGAATTTCCGAGGAATCAATCTACACCAGCTGAGAAGAAAATAAAATTATCTCGGTTAAAAACGTCAATAATCATCTTATAATGTAAAATTTAAATATATATAAAATACGTAAAATGCATATATAAAAAAGATACTGTATTTTTTTAGGTTAGCTTCAGTTTTGACCGCGATTACCGCGATAAATACTATTTTTTTTAGGAAACTATCTGTATCTGTGTGCTAGCTGACAGCATCAAATCTGTAAGCAGCAGCAAAATCTGTCTGCAGCGGCTAACATTAACAAAAAGGAGCTAACGTTAGCTTCAGCAGCCACTCCTTTCGTTTTTAAATAGCATGTTAGCTATTCCTTAAATAAATATCGGAACAATTCAATGCTTATTGGCTTTGATTTAAACGATAGGAAATGATTAAAACATAATAATTCGCTTTGTTTCTCACCTAATCGAGAACAAATTCACTCGCCGAACTGATCCGAGCAGAGAGATTGGTCAAAAAGACACAAAACCGTAGTAGTCGAAAAAAAAAGCCGAGCTGATTGTCCTAAAAATGGAGGAGGCTCATCTGGATGGTAAGCCACCAATCACAAGGCAGAGAATAGTTTGATTGAAAGGGGCAGTCTGGGAGACTTACCAATAGTTCTTTAGCGCGGGGGAAGGAGGAGGGGCTTGGCTGGTAGTTGAATTAATAACCAGAGCATAGATATAGAAAAGCAGATAGTTTGTCCACCATGTTGTGAGTGGCATTTAAATTCTGTTCGGAGACTGATTATACGGTTTCTAAATAAAATAAACACTTTACGGTCTATTTACTATTCCGCAAGTGCAGATTTAGCTGTCTGTTGTGTTTTTGCCCTTTAGACTATGACAGCAAATTAAAAGAAAATAAAGAAATAAATAAAGCTTGTCTAATTAAGTTACTTGTTTTACACACTCTTTTCACCTTTTTGACATTTCTTTCTTTATTTGTTTGTTTATTTTTGTTTTGGTTTATTTGTAATGTATTTGTCTTATTATTGATTATAGCAGGATTGATCCTCATTGAATTTCTATAGCCCAATTAACAAAAGAAACCCAGAATATGTGCAATAATAGGTTTACTTCAATGTTTAACTGATTTTGAATTAATGTCATTATTTGCAGCAACAAAATAATATCTGTAAATTAATAATATGATTGTAAAATAAAAGATTGGGTTTAAGCTGCATTTAATTACTGTTAAACCTATGTTAGGTTTTTTAATCTCGATGATACATTTACAATTATTAAGTTACATTTAGTAAATGTATTAAGGCAGAACAGCAATGTAACAACACAAACTATCATATTCTACCTTTAAAACTAAAGTTATATTAATATTGCACATAATTTTGAAAATTTTCAAAAATTATATTCTCCATTAATGCATATTTGTACTTAAAAACTTATCACTGAGACGGATCGTTGAACCAAAGTCAGATTCCTTTCTTGTGTGAAAAAATATGGTGGTTAAAGCAGATTCAGATTTTGGTTCTAATAGTAACAGTTTAAAAAAAAAAGTGATTGTATAACAAATCTTTTCTAAACCAGATTCAAGGTAAGGTACCTTTTAAAAATACTGTAATGAGTGTAATGGAAAATCATCATGGTTAATTAAGACTTGATATCTTTCCGTGTGTAATTAAATCAAGGTAATTACATTGACTTGTAAATACTAAATGTCTTCTTTTCTTTTTATTTATTTATTGCCATTTTTAAAATAAGTCCATATTTAATTGCACCCTCTAAAGCTGTGGGGTCTATTTTTCTTGTTTCTATGTACAGCAATTCTGCAGCGAAGGAGAGAAAGTAAAAGAAGACGTCACCATGTTGTCATGGTGATTCTTAACCAATGGCTTCTCTGCTCTCACATGCTGCATTACATGGGCGTTCAAAATATGATACGTTAACGCCTCCTTCATCTTACGAATGGCAAGGTGCAGCTGTGGCAGAAAACCAGGGTTTCCTGCACTGAAAAGAGCCAAAAATTAACAAAGCATTAAAAAAAAACGTGTTCTAGTCATGAGTGAAAAAATATTCCCTTATACGAAGTATCTTATTAGTGGATGTTAATTTCCTTTATGATAATAATAATAACAGTAATAATAATAATAATCATCATCATCATCATCATCATATTAACAATAATGATGATAATAATAATAACAACAATAGCAATAATGATGATGATGATATAATAATACAAATAATAATAATAACGACAACAATAATAACATTAACAACAACAACAATAATAATAATATAATAATATAATAATGTATATGACAAAAACGTAAACAGTATTGAATACATTTTTTTTATATTTTACATAAGGTATCACATAAGGAAAAGCAAAGTGAAACCCTTTTTATGATAAAGGCAGTGATAGAAAATCAGGGACATTCCACCATTTAATGACTCCCCTTTAAGTCAAAACGTTAGTATTGGTAATTAAAACTGAAAACATCTTTTTTCTATCTCTTTTTGTGAAGTTTAAATCCATTAACATTAGACGTTCTGACAACGTCCATTTAACTTTTTCACATTGAACATGTTGGATGTTGTTTGAATGTCCAGTGTTGATCATTCGTGTCTTTTTTTAGCCAATCCTGAAAGAACCATCATTTTAGATGCAGGAGAAATGCATTCGGTGGATAGAGCTAGACATACATAGAATCTAAGAGAATTTTAGCTGTTCTGTTTTGTCAAAAATGAAATAAACTTTCTGACACTGATCTCATTATAACCACAAACCTTTTTTGTTTGATTGTTTTTTTTTTTTCAGCTTTTATTTTCATTACACTGTCACAAGTACAGAGCTATGAAACAAACCCTCTGCATTTAACTCATCCCCTTGGGGAGCAGTAGGCTGCCATTGTGCGGCGCCCGGGGAGCAGTGTGGGGTTAAGGGTCTTGCTCAGTGACCCAGAGTGGAGGCTGTGGGGATCGAAACAGGCACTTGCAAACTTCTCAAAACACAAGCACACGGCTCTAACCACAAGGCCAACATTCCCCACAATGAAGTTTCTGACATTGATCTCACTAAAACCATAAACGTTTGTATTTTTCTTACTAGCTCTGCTGAAGCAGAGTTCAACTGAAAGCAGAGCATTTGATGGGAGCTTTACTGGGCGTTTTTGCTGCCTCTTCCTCTAATAATCCTCTTGCCCAAGCTTGTCCTGTGTCGTAAAAACTTGGGAGTTATGTTGTACTGCTTCACCTTTAAGTGATGGACAGAACCATGCACTGTGAGATGTTTAAAGTATACTATATAGTTTTGCTACCTATTCTTGTTTTAATTGTTTCAAAACTTTCTTCCTGGACAGTTTGATATGTCTTCATAATGCTGTTTCACATCTGGTCACTGAAGTCTCAAATAAACAGCCATTTTAACACTGAGATTAAATTAGGTAAAATGCAATTTTACTGCATCTTTAAGCAATGAGTTTTGTTTTAGGAGTAAAGTGGCTTGCTACAAAAACAGGCCAGAAAATGATGGATAAACATGTTTGAAATTAGGCCTCTCTAGCGCCCCCTCTGGCTATTGGGAATGGATCCTAAACCACCCTCTGTGATGTCACTTCCTTCGCGCGCTATACTGCTAACTGCAGCTAACCAGCTGACAGACGAGAACAAGCTCGAATCCTAACATTATTTTCGGAGCCTACAGGGAGCTTAGATCTTTCTAAATTTGTGCTGATAGATTAAACATCTTTATCAGGAGCTGGGTTTCCATTGACCCTCCATAAAGGAGGCTGCTGCCTTTGAACAACATCATTCAGCAGATCGGATGTGTTTGTTGTTAGCAGCCTCAGTGCCCCCCGCCTGCTACCTGCTACCAGAATTTTATCTTTTTTAATTTGTCTGCTTGCTTACGGAAGTTCCCCCTCTGGTATGCGCCTAACCCCACATGCTGGACCTGCCCTCAGCCCTCAGGAGCCATGAAGCTGCAGTGCGATGTGGAGGTGGTAAACCGGATGCTCCCCTCGTTCGGAATGAAAAGTCGGGGGAAGGGAGCGAGAGCGGTGGTCTCCATCGGGAAGCACTTGGACAAGTCGAGTCAGCGCAGTAACATCTACATGCTGATCTGCACAGCCAAAGACAGAAGCGGCTCAAAGTATAAGGTCTGTGAGCTGTTTGCTTTGGTTCCTCACACTGGGAACATCGTGTTCTGACTCTCCTCTTATTGCTATTTCAGTCTCCTGAATGCTTCTGGGCCAAAGTACCTACAACTTTCAGGACTTAGGTATCCATAACTACGGATGACCATTAGGGACACTGAAAAAATATAATAACTGCTGTCAGCGACCAGCTTTCATGCAAACTTTCATGCTTTCAAGCTTTCATGCTTATAAGCATCTTTTATGATGCAAAAAATGAAAAAGCTGGGACCTTTTTGGCCTGATTTAGACAGGGGGGAACAGATTACAGCAGGTGGCCTGCTATAATTTGTTCCCCCCTTATAACTTTAAGAAATAAAGGTCAATCACATCCAAAGTTTCAGGAATAAATTGTCATCATAAAAGATGCTTATAAGCCAAAAATGAAAAAGCTGGGGCCTTTTTTGTCTGATTGAGACAGGGGGAACAAATTACAGCAGGTTTTATTTTATCCCATATTGCCAATTGTGGCAAAATGGGATGAAATAAAACGGCTGATATTAGAAGACAAACTGTTTATTAAGGATAGTACAACATAGATAAATTGTACGTTACTATAAACACAGATATAGATTTAAGTACTAAATTTCAACCAGGAAAAAATAATTTTCCTTCTGCATATAGTCTTTAATGATTACACGTGCACTCCATTTTCTATTTCATTTTTATTACAAGTATATGGTTTACAACAGTTTTCAATGGGATGAGAACATTTGGATACTGTGAAACAATGAGAGATTTTTTTAAGGAACGTGAGGAAAAGAACAAGGATCTGTTTGCTTTCAGAGGGAGGAGTAGACACTGCTGTCAGCGACCAGCTTTCAAGCAAACGTTTGTGTTTTATAATCAGTTTTAAATCAATATCACTGGCGATATTCTGCTATAACACGTGAAGTAAAGAATAAAACAGTAAAGCTCAACTTTCATACACGTAAAACCTTTCAAATTTCAAGTTCTGCACGTTGGAATTGAAGCGGAGTTAAGTCGGGTTGTTCTTCCTACTCCGTGCGCGCTCCCGACGAGGGGATACACATTTTCGCAGGGATAACTACCTTGGCACGTCACCTGTCCGGTAATTTCGCATTCTGCTTACTTTTTTCCATATAGTCAGAGAAACAAACTCAATCCTTTAGTCCTTCGTTTAGCTATGCTGCGGTTGTTTACACTACGCCTTTTCCACCAAAAATGGCGTCTTAGCAACAAATGTCACGTGACTGGTGTCACGTTGTTCTTTTATTTACTGATAAGTATCTCACACAGCGCTGCAGCTTCTGTCTCACATACACTTAAATTACAAACAGCTGTTAGGGACCGGAAAACCCCTGCTCTATATTCTGTTGCTTTTCAAAGTAAAAGACGTCACATAGCATTACACCACATCTCCCTTTCTTTGGAACAAAAGGGTAGACAGCCTTTGTAC